GAGAATGGAATAACAAAAGTTTTCTGTAATGTTTTAATGTGATCATGGAATAATTATTTTTTGTCAACAGCATACGGTGTAAGTACTAGAGATTCAAAGATAACAAGCTTTATTGAACAGGTGTAAAAGTGAGAGTACTCTGGGATGAGTACTCTGAGAAAAGTACTCTGAGAAAGTACTCTGAGATGAAATACCTCGCTGAAGGTACTGGGAGTCCCTCCCTCTGCTGTTTGTCCTGACAGTGATTCGGTCCAACCGCAGTGAGCTGTCGTTGGGCGGAGGACACCTTTGGTTTGTAATTCACATTTAGGGGAGTATAAAATTAGAAACATACATATTGTTAAGTCTGTATTTGGCTACAGCCTCTGCCCTGATGCCACACACCGTCTGTCAATGTAGTTATGTTTTGCCCAATTGGATTGATTGACAGGCTGCACAATGCGAAGAGAGGAAAGTGGGCGTTTCTTGTGTTCTAATGTTTGTTTTTCAGATGAAAGATAAACTGCACCTGCTTCAGGGATACCACGGTAGTATGGATCATGAGGAAAATGAGCCTCTACTTTGGCACCAAAGCCCACAATATGAATTGAGGACGATCCGGGAGGAACAACTGAAGATGATTGGAACAGTAATCTACACACATACAGATGCATGTTTTATACTTTGGACCACGACCAACAGAGGGAGTATAGTAATGTTATTGTCATAGGTGGTCATGGTCCTTAACCTTCTAAATCATTAGAAAGAAGTGTAAAACATATATTTACAAGACCAAATACATAATAGAAAAGGGCAGCCTAAAAAAAAGCAAAATGGGAAAATTATTAAGTAATTTTCGGAGTTGCCAAAATGGAATAAAATTCTATATTTGTCCCATAGGGGGTCATTCTAAATTTAGTGTTGTGCAAATTCAAAAGGAGAAATAATAGCGCTTATAACATCAAACAGATCTACTCTTTAAGATAATAATAGAATAGAATGAAATAGTCTGGAGCTATAATGTCATTGGATTCGAGGAGCTATAGGTTGAAAAGTCGCTAAGAAGAGGTGTCAGAATAAACAATAGTAATAATAGTTAGACTAGTGAATAATCAAAATAGTTCTATTGTGGAAATAAGTATCAATAAGGTCAAATTGTTCTAATAACTAAAGTAAAAAGGAATCAAATGGAGTCAGATTTTAGATGTTTCTGTTTTCCACATCTGTAGGAATTAGTGCAGATGTGTTTATAGAGAGTAGTATTAAAATGCAGACATAGAACGACAGGCGTTAACACAATTTTAAATCTAAAATAGCTCAAATATAACATTGCTCTTGACGCAGCCTCTGAGCTGCTCCATTGGAGAACAGGTTAAATGTTATTGTTTATTACAAACAGCTGATGTATTCACACATATTAAGTTTGGGACAACTCTTTAAACAGTTATAAGCAGCGGACAGAAGCCATGAATGTGCTTTTGTTTATTAAATAATTAATTTCATAGCCTTATAATCGTGGAAAACGTTTTAAAATAGTTAAAATCCCTTTCAGGCAACTTGATTTAGATGTATGTCTTTAATATTGGAGAACGACTGTGTTGTTTTTGGAATTGTCTGAAATACAATACATAGAATAGTGATTTGCAGAACAAGAACCAGCCAATAAAAAATCGTCTATTGCCAATGCTATTGTTACAATCAGAACTCACAAATTGGGAATAGGCTTTGGCTCAAACTACTACCAAGATTTGGAGTCACAATAGAGTATAAAATAGATAGATGCTTTCAAAAATAGAGATTATTTTTAGACAGGGCTAATATCAAGCGGTAAAAGGACCATTTCCTTTCATATTATGTCCAAAAGTATTTACTTTAAAGGTAGATGAAGTTCATTACAGTTTATGCACAGGTTTATTAGATACTGTCAAATTCGCTTGTTTCAAACATAGGTGAATGTTAACAATGCCAAAAGTTAATGAGATAGATTAGAAACAACAGAGATTCAAAAACATTTAAAAGCATTTTAATGTATTTGGGTATAGCACAAAAGTAGATATTTAGGTATTTTTTGAGAATTTTAAGAGCTGTCAATTTGTCAGCAACAGATTAGAGAATCAAAATACCGTTGTATAGGGACTAACCCCAGAGAAACCTGCTAAAATAGATTAGCTCCTGTACGGATAATACCAATTTGATTAACAATGTACATTTATCCCAAACGGTCTGAGAGAAGGAAGTGACAGCACTTCCTGGTTCAACAAAATGTGTTTGGAAAAATGAGCAAAGCCCCACAAAATGGCACAGAGCCACTGAGAATGACAGCAGTGGTCATCAAAGAGTTTTGTAAGGAATGTTTCGAATGTTGTTGTGTGTGTATTCTTTCTGTATTAACTCTTCACAGATAACGAGCCAGAACCAAGAACCAAGGCGATGATGGACGAGCTCCCCAGTCTCGGCACCCAGAAGGAATATTGAAAGATTGTGACCTAAATTGGTTTAATATAGGTCAACAGAGGGGAACTGTTGTATATTTTAATATTTGACCATTTGAACATCATAGCCAGAAAGACCTCTGTGCACTCAGGAAAAACCCCAAGGACACAGGATAATCAGACATGAGTCATAAAGATAAAATGCTGTTTAAACAGGGCGAATTATTAACTTTAAATAATAAACATTTTGACGAGGACAAGAGTTCAGAACCTGAATCTTGAGGCAGACTGGGAGATTCACCAACTGCATTCTGACGCCTCCCAGTGGACAAGGGACGTCAGCACACCCGGAAACTCCACCCCTTGGACGCATAAGGATGACGTCATCGGAAGTCTCCCTCATGAGCCCCTGTGTGTTTTTTTTGAGGTCAGACAGGACAGGGCACGGACAGGGGAAGAGCAGGCCTAGAATAGGAGCACTTTTGTTGAACATTCTGTATCTGATTGTAAAGATAATTAAATGCAGATGTTAAACGTGAAGATCTCTTGTCTCGCTCTTGCATCGACTTTGGATACGTCAGTCAAAGGGAATTATTGACTTCACGTTTCATGTAGGCCTTCCCTGCAGCATCTTGCACCCTGCAGTTATGTGTTGGATTGTCTCAGGTGCCTCTTTGCACAACCGACACCTTGGGTCTTGTCTGGTGTGGTATATCTGGGCCTCTATCGCTCTGGTGCTCAGTGCCTGTTCCTGTGCAGCCATGATGAGTGCCTCTGTGCTGTCCTGTAGGCCAACCCTTTCTAGCCATTGGTAGGACTTCTTGAGATCAGCCACTTCTGTTATGCTCCGGTGGTACATGCCGTGTAGGGGCTTGTTCTCCCATGATGGGCTCTCCTCCAGCACCTCCTCATCTCGCCACTGCCTGAGACATTCACTGAGTACGTCATCCGTTTTGGCCTTCTCCATTATCTAGTTATGGAGTTTGGATGTTTGGTCCTGGACAGTGGCTCTCACACTCACTAGTCCTCGGCCTCCTTCTTTAGGGCTTACGTACAGTCTCAGGGTGCTGGATTTGGGATGGAACCCGCCATGCATGGTTTCGAGTTTTAACATCCGTGGTCTGAATCTCTTCCTTTGGCCACCTGATTATTCCTACAGGGTATCTGATCACTGGTAGGGCGTAGCTGTTAATTGCCCGGGCCTTGTTCTTGCCATTGAGCCGGCTTCTTAGGACCTGCCTTACTCGCTGGAGGTATTTGGCAATTGCCGCTTTCCTCGTCACCTGTTCGAGGTTGCCATTTGCCTGTGATATACCGAGATGCTTGTAACTGTCCTCAACGTCATATATATATAATAGTTAGTTCCCAAAGGTTTCCCTGTGACATTGCTAGACAGGTAACAGCAGCTAGGCTAGTAACAGCTAGGCTAGCTAACTGACTAGAACTCTCTGGAGCTACATGAAAAGTGAACAAAGAATTGTGAACATCAGCAGCGAGTGACCCAAATATACACTTAATTTAAATCCATAATCAGATCCTCTGCAAATGTGTCCTAAAATGTTATACTAATGTTAAGTTACTTCCGGGTTTATCGCGATTGTTTTTGGTCACATTGAAACAGTATTTTTGTCATGAAAACGTAAACAGATAATTCTGAAAACCTCTGTGCACATGTGTTAGGAATGTATAGGTATAATGTATTGTTTTTCATGTTTATTGAGCGTGGCCAGCTCCGATAGATTCTCTCGCTCAGACAGAAGTAATAAGTGACAGGCACTGAAAGCCCGTTGTGCCGAAGTATACGAACTGCAGTCCGTGTTTTACACACCTGAATTACAAGCACAGAGTGCGTTGCCAAAGAGCAGCGGCCATTAATGGTTTGAGAGGTCCGTTATTAAGAAATAATGATCAGTAGAAAGATTACATTCAAACCAATGAGCGTTCTACTGCTGCTGTGAGGAGCTGTATAATAAATTATGATTCAGTTTTGGAAAATTTGAATTAATATTCTCTTCTTCGCACATCTTGGGCCCATTGACCTGGTGCCCATTCGTTTCAAGACCAATCAGAAAGGAAGGGGGAGGGAGCTTGGGTCATTTTTTTTCTCTCTCTCTTTTTTCTGACAAACTCCAGACTATCACTTTAATAGAGAGCCGAGAGAAGTTTTAGTGTTAATTAAATCCAGTTCCAATTCTACAATGCCTGCTAAAACTTAGATCATAGTTCTAACCCCAGTCATTGTCCTAGTCACAGTCAAAGCAATGTGTCCTGTGAAGGAATAGGTCTAGAGTGTGTCCTCTGTTGTGACCAGGTACACTTAACCCCAATTTGCATAAGGCTGTACGGTCACTGACAGATTCTGCTCTGTCAGGTGGCAGATTCCACCCTAGAATAGAAAGCGTCCTCTGTCGTGACCAGGTCCAGAGTGTGTCCTCTGCTATGACCAGGTCTATAGTTCATCCTCTGTTGTGACCCAGGTCTGCCACTGCTAAATTAGATCAGCAGATATTGGTTTTGGTGAGGGAGGTGGCTATAGGGAGTTTGTGTTTGTTCTAGACAGAGTTGGCACATGTTGGTTATAAGAGAGTGTCAGTGTCGAGTCACGACAACCCGTCCCTTCAGCTGCAGCCTGCCGGCCCTCAGCCTCAGCCCACAGCACACATGGGCCCCTAGTGCAGGTCTGAGTGTGGGGTCTCGAAGCCCGTACGTCAGCGCACTGAGGCAGCGCGGCATTAGCACCACACACACGTACACCAGGATCAACAGCCGGGTGCTTACCCCCGCGTTACAGCACATTGACACAACAACAAACAGGTGCATGTTCATGACCGACAGAAGGTTCAGCCCGAGCTGAAACATGTGCAGAAGAAGAGTGTTTCGTGTCTTCTCTGCCTGAGCTTTGTCATCAGAGGCCAAACAGGCAACAACCATGACCGCCACAAAGGAGGAGGAGATGACCACGGCCGACAGGGTGAACAGGAAGTATGTGTACAACGTGTGGTAGAGTTGGGCCTTTGGGCTGATCTGAATGATGAACGTGGAGCAGAAGTGTCTCATCTGCAGATCCGGCAGCAGGTGAAAGGGGAACTCCATCAGGAGAATTACTCGGACCAGAACATCTGCAGTGCTCACAGCCCAGGTCAGCATGATGACAAAATGGGTGTTTCTGAGCGTGACCACGGTGGAGTGTCTGAAGGGGAAGCACACCGCCACACAGCGCTCCAACGACATGAAGATCAGTGTGTACGGAGAGATCTGGTCTGACACGAAGCACACCGTGTTCAGGAAGATACACAGCGGGTATGAGATCCACACTTGGTAGGTGGCGAGCAGGTACATCATCTGCCCTTGAGCCATGAGTACCGTGTCGGCAAACACCAGGTTGAACAGCAGCACGTAGCGCGGACACTGGGAGAACTGGGGTTTGCTGCGCAGGACCGAGAGGATGCAGCCGTTAACAAAGAAGAACAAGCCGCAAGGAACCGAGGTGACGAACGCCAACATGAGCCGCTCGCCCTTATCGTGTGGACGGGCCGAAGAGGAGCTGGAGCCCAGAGACGTGTTGGAGGAGTTCTGGTTTGGATCCATCGTAGCAGCTGCAAAGAGACACACGTTCAGAACCACAAGCCTAACTCCAAAAAGTAACAAGTAAAATTTAAAGTAATAAAGTAAGTAAGGGAGAAGAGAGAGTGTTGGTATAATTTATACACATCAATGTGGGTCAGGTGAAGAAGACTCTAAAACTGCACACGTCACACCTGGAGTAATACACTGCATAATGACAATGCAACGAGCCCTGGAGCTGTGTCACTCGCTGCTCTTTACTTTAATTTGTCCTTTAAAACTATGTTTTATTACTCCATGTGAATGAGAATCCATTACAGACCAGAGGCTCGCAAGAAGGTGTTTTATGGCCCTTATAGTGGACTTGAAACTTTTATATTCCCATAAACATTGTATCCTGAATGCAACAAAGGAAACATATTATTGAAAACGTTATAATACAGATACTACTGTTTCAATCCAAGCAGCTGGACTCATTTTGAGATTTTGAGATGTAAAAGTCATATCAAAGTCATATTCAATATAATTCCGGCGTGTCTTACTCTGACTCCAACATGATCATCAAATACGCTGATGACACCATCAGCGTATTTGATTCTGATTAATAAAATATGTTAGTGTGACTGTGAGTGCTGTTTAGGTCAAATATGTTTCTGAAGAGCTTTAGAAACGCCCCCTTTTTAGTCAACTCATGTTCCTGTTTGCCCCAGTCCTGGGCCTGGTGCAGACCGGAAAAGTTTTTGGGTTTAACTCTTGTCACCTCCATAACCTGCCCCCTCTTACCTCACAGACCTCCTCCATCATCACTGTCCCTCCCGCCGCCTCAGATCCACAGACTCCAGCCTCCTCACTCTCTCAGGACTAAACACAGAACCTTGGGGGTCCGAGCTTTCGCTGCAGCTGCCCCCACTCTCTGGAACTCACGCCCACAACCATCAGAAACTCCCACTCACTACAGAACTTCAAATCACTTCTCACAATCCACCTGTTTCCCCTAGACTTTCCTTCATTTTGCTCTTCTATGTTTATTTTAAATGTTTAGTACAGCGTCTTTGAGTGTCCAAAAAAGGGCTTTATATGTTGGATGTATTTTTTGTTTTATTATAATTTACCACAAACTCTAAGATCCTCCTTAATATTCATCGCTGCGCCATTGAATGTCAGCTCTGCGACTGTTTGGGTTAGTGACATCACAGATAAAGACAGGAGAGTTGTCCGTAGTCCTGCCCTTAGTCCTGCCCTTAGTCCTGCCCTTAGTCCTGCCCTTAGTCCTGTTGATAATCGTATTCTGTTGATAATCGTATTCTGTTGATAATCGTATTCTGTTGATAATCGTATTCTGTTGATAATCGTATTCTGTTGGATACGTTTTGTTGAAACTAGTGATATAGTGTAGTTGGGCTGCGCTCGGATCTGGTCAGAACATCCTGAGTCTGTTGCAGATTCTGCCTCGTTCTCGTTACTGTTGATGTGAAGAAAGTTACATGTTGTGCACGTGTGAGTCTGTTGTGTACAAACTTCACGATTACTCCATAGTTCCTTCTTCACACTAGTGAGGGCACAGTGGAAGCAACGACATCAGTAGCACCTGTGAAACGAAAGCTCAAATCTCCTTCATGTCCCTTATCAACCTCTGTGTTTACAGCACTGAGGATAGTTTTGGGCTCCTGGAAAAGCCATGTTCCAGCTTTTTCCATCTGGCAGAAGATTTTGTTCGTTGAGATGCAAGACATCTCGATGTGTTATTAACTTCTTTGCACAAGCTGTTAAGTTTAAACATTTTAGTCTGTACATTAGAGCTGACTCAAACAGGCTCCATGAGGATCAGAGCTAACTCAAACAGGCTCCATGAGGATCAGAGCTAACTCAAACAGGCTCCATGAGGATCAGAGCTAACTCAAACAGGCTCCATGAGGATCAGAGCTAACTCAAACAGGCTCCATGAGGATCAGAGCTAACTCAAACAGGCTCCATGAGGATTAGAGCTGACTCAAACAGGCTCCATGAGGATTAGAGCTAACTCAAACAGGCTCCATGAGGATTAGAGCTGACTCAAACAGGCTCCATGAGGATTAGAGCTAACTCAAACAGGCTCCATGAGGATTAGAGCTGACTCAAACAGACTCCATGAGGATTAGAGCTGACTCAAACAGACTCCATGAGGATTAGAGCTGACTCAAATAGACTCCATGAGGATTAGAGCTGACTCAAACAGGCTCCATGAGGATTAGAGCTGACTCAAACAGGCTCCATGAGGATTAGAGCTGACTCAAACAGACTCCATGAGGATTATAGCTAACAGGCTCCATGAGGATTAGAGATGACTCAAACAGACTCCATGAGGATTATAGCTAACAGGCTCCATGAGGATTAGAGCTGACTCAAACAGACTCCATGAGGATTAGAGCTAACAGGCTCCATGAGGATTAGAGATGACTCAAACAGGCTCCATGAGGATTAGAGCTGACTCAAACAGGCTCCATGAGGATTAGAGCTGACTCAAACAGGCTCCATGAGGATCAGAGCTGACTCAAACAGACCTTCCCAGATCTTGGTCACGTTTTGGTCCGGTCTGCACCAGGCCCAGGGCTGGAGCATCGTAAAGTTGACTAAAAAGGGGGCGTGTCTAAAGCTCTTCAGAAACAGCACTCACAGTCACACTAACATATTTTTTTAATTAGAATTCTCATTAAACATGGCACTGGGTTAGAATGTGGAGTGGAGTGGAAGAGAATGGATGGATGTGAATGGAGAGTCGGCTTCATTCTCAAAGTAAATATTGTGTGACATCACCACAGTAATGAGCATCACTTTATGCTACTGTCACTTTACTGCAAATGTTTAATGAGTGTACTTAGTGCATTTGTAATTAGTAAAGTAGTCATTTTAAGAATGTTAGTGCACTTGTATGTAGTAAGAGTACAGTATTATTCGGACAATGGGCCACTGCTTTTTTCCTGCATTTTTTTATGTGACAAGTAACAGTAGAGTTTATGAGTTGGTCACAGACGTCCAATTAAATTATAAGATTTGTCAATCAAGCAGAATAAAGTCCTCACTTCTAATATCTTTGTGCAAATATGTCCTATAATTCTTTGTACAGACGTGAAAGTGAAAATAGCACCAGTTGCTTAAACAGAAGCAGGTTTAAACAGAAGCAGGATCCAGTTTCCTTCTATAGCTCATATCTGGAATATTAAAATATAAACAAGTCATGGTTACACTGCAAGACACAAAGAGAGGACCACCCTCACTCAGCCAAGTAGCTCCCAGCCCAAAGAGTCCAATAGTGACTCACAGGGCTCTTTTTCACACTAAACATCTTGTTTTCTAATGAGACGAAGACGGCATGTTGTGGTCTGAGACTCTTTCTGTTCAAACTACATGTTTTCAATGAGACTAAAGTTACGTACCCCAGCTTTAATACAAGATATTTGAGTTTGTATTTCAGTTGAATAAAGTTATTCAGAATCACGAGCAAACTATGACCTGGCTCAGTCCTGGTTCAGTCCTGGTTCAATCCGAGTTCAGACCTGGTTCAGTCCTGCTTCAAATCCTAGTTCAGACCTGGTTCAGTCCTGGTTCAGACCTGGTTCTGTCCTGGTTAAGTCCTGGTCTCTAGTCCCTGAACGCGGTCTCTGACTAGTCTCTCTCTTTGGTCTCTCTCTGGTCTCTATCTGATTTTGCTCTGGTCTCTCTCTGGTCTCGCTCCAGTCTCTCTCTGGTCTCTATCCGGTCTTGCTCTGGTTTCTCTGGTCTCTCTCCAGTCTCTCTCTGGTCTCTTTCCGGTCTTGCTCTGGTCTCTCTGGTCTCTCTCCAGTCTCTCTCTCGTCTCTATCGGTCTTGTCTCTCTCTCTGGTCTCTATCCGGTCTTGCTCTGGTCTCTCTGGTCTCTCTCTAGTCTCTCTCTCTGGTCTCTATCCGGTCTTGCTCTGGTCTCTCGCTGGTCTCTCGCTGGTGTTTTGGCTCCTGCTGAAATACTATTGTACAACATGAACACAAACAATGAGGGAATACAGATTTGGTCACAAGGAACTCGACAAAAGTGTCCGTAGATGAGACAGAATCGACCAAATTCATGCATTCATTAAAGTTGGGGTGTGTAACTTTCAAACTACAATAGAGCTCTGCAATAAACATATGTCTCTTGTTCCTGGCTCTACACCGGTTGCTTCAATTAGTAGTTTTCACATCATGTATTTTTGGGCTCTGTCTCATCTTCAGATCCGCTTTTTCAGACAGAAAAGTGAAAAGGAGAAGACCACCGTCACTCAGCTCTCAGCCCAAAGAGTCCAGTAGTGACTCACAGGGCTCTTTCTGACACTAAAGATTCTGTTGAAAGTACTTGTTATGCTAAAGTTACATACCTCAGCTTTAAACATGTGTTATTTATGAGACCCCAGCCCTCCTCCCGTTCTAGCCCTGGATCAGACCTGGTTCAGTCCTGGTTCAGACCTGGTTCAGACCAGGTTCAGTCCGGGTTCAGACGTGGTTCAGATCTGGTTCAGTTCTGGTTGAGTCCTGGTTCAGTCCGAGGTTACACCTGGTTCAGTTCTTGTTCAGACCTGGTGCAGACCTGGTTTAGTTCTGATTTAGTCCTGGGTCAGACCTAATTCAGACCTGGTTCAGTTCTGTTTCAGTTTGATGCAGTCCTTTAGTCCTGGTCCAGACCTGGTTCAGTCCTGGTTCAGTCCTGGTTTAGGCCTAATTCAGACCTGGTTCAGTTCTGGTTAAGTTTGATGCAGTCCTTCAGTCCTGGTCCAGACCTGGTTCAGTCCTGGTTCAGACCTAATTCAGACCTGTTTCAGTTCTGGTTCAGTTTGATGTAGTCCTTCAGTCCTGGTCTAGACCTGGTTCAGTCCTGGTTCAGACCTGATTCAGACCTGGTTCAGTTCTGGTTCAGTTCTGGTTCAGTTTGATGCAGTCCTTCAGTCCTGGTCCAGACCTGGTGAAGGTACAAAATGCTGAGTCCGGTTGGAGCGACGGGAGGCGAGCTTTTATGCACAGACGTGACATCACGCCACGCCGCCATCTTGAGATTGCCATAGCAACAGTGAAGCGGTGGCCATCACCTCTGAGAGATAGAGCAGGGAGAGAGAGTAGGGACAGACCAATGTCCATGAATGTTGGTAAATGTCATACATGTTGTAGGATATGTCCTGGATCATCACAGTCCTTGTTAGACACAGACTCCTGCGTCAGAGGAAAACTCTAAAGCCCGGTGCGAGAAAAGTCTTAACTGTTGATTCTCGGATCTGTGTTGGTGATTTCAATGGTTTGGTTAAGTCCTCTGAGATGATGCTGTTGTGATTTAGGGCTATACGAGAATAAATTGTATTGAATTGAATAATGGATAGTGTGTTTATACAAGATAGACACGTTCAAACACTACATATTTTAGGACCTTGTGAGCAGCGGCCTAGAAAACACTTTTGATCAAAAAATCTGCTGTTTTTGAAAGTCCTGGTTCAGTTCAGTGGCTGAGAGGATAGCACTCATTCTTCTCAGCATTAAAGTCCGGGGTTTGAATCCCGGTCAGAACCGGGCCTTTCTGTGTGGAGTTTGCATGTTCTCCTCATGTCTGCGTAGGTTTCCTCCAGGTGGATATTAGCCTAAGGCTATCGTTTGGCATATTTACATTTGTGAAAAATGTCATTATTATGTATTGTTCATCCTTCCTCATATAAATGAACATGAATAAATGATAGGAAGAGGAGAGCAGAGTGTAGGTCAACGTGAACGAGGCCATTGTGTAAAGAGCTGGAAAAAAGAGAGACCAGAGAAAAAACAGAGAGAAACTAGAGAAAGACGAGATAGAGACCAACGAAAGAGACCAGAGAGAGACAAAAGGGGGAACAGAGAGACCAGAGTGTGAATGAGGCAATTATGAAAACAGAGCATTTAGAAGGAAGGGTTGTGGAGAACATTCCGGATATTAGTGTGGATGGAGCTAAACACAACTTTCGCAAGATCTCCGGTGTGTGCCGTTGGTGCAGACTGGGGTAGTCTTGCACAGTTTTTCCAATGTGGTTTTACTGCAAATGGCAAATAAATCAATCTGAATATGAATCTGACACCTGCAGGTGTGAGACTGATGGAATATGGAGAAGTGTAGGATAAACTTTATTGCTCTCATGGAGAATCACTCAGATTGTGCAAAATACAGAAATGTGCAATGTGTTAAAACAGGTTAAATGTACAATAAAAAAGTGGCAATAGCAGCTGGTTCTTCAGTCGTATTGCAGGTCATTAGAGACTCTACGTGACTTATTGGACTTATTATCTCAGCTCCTCCTCAGTCCTGTGCAGTGGGAGGTGTTGTCCATGATGGAGGTGACTTTGACTTGACCCTCCTGTCCCTCACCTCCTCCACAGAGTCCAGGGGCCTCCTGTCCCTCACCTCCTCCACAGAGTCCAGGGGCCTCCTGTCCCTCACCTCCTCCACAGAGTCCAGGGGCCTCCTGTCCCTCACCTCCTCCACAGAGTCCAGGGGCCTCCTGTCCCTCACCTCCTCCACAGAGTCCAGGGGCCTCCTGTCCCTCGCCTCCTCCACAGAGTCCAGGGGCCTCCTGTCCCTCGCCTCCTCCACAGAGTCCAGGGGCCTCCTGTCCCTCGCCTCCTCCACAGAGTCCAGGGGCCTCCTGTCCTGAGCAGGCCTCAGAAAGACTCAGAAGGACCTCAGCCTCCTCAGAAGGACCTCAGCCTCCTCAGAAGGACCTCAGCCTCCTCAGAAGGAAGAGGCGACTTTGGCCCTTCTTGTGCAGGGCGTTTGTATTATGGACCAGTCCAGTTTATTGTTAATGTGAACACCCAGGTACTTGAAGCTGTCCACCAGCTCAATGTCCTCCCCCTGGATGTTCAGCAGCGTGTGGGAAAGTGGTTTTCTCCTGAAGTCGATGACCATCTCCTTGGTCTTACTGGTGTTCAAGCACAAGTGGTTGCACTCACACCAGTCGACAAAGTCCTTGATAACCGACTGATATTCCAGTTCGTTCCCCTCAGACACACAGCCCACGATGGCGGAGTCGTCGGAGAACTTCTGCAGGTGACAGCTGTGTGTGTCGTGTGTGAAGTCTGAGGTGTAGATGGTGAAGAGAAACGGTGAGAGGACAGTGCCCTGAGGGGCCCCAGTGCCCTGAGGGGCCCCAGTGCTGCAGACGACCACCTCAGACTCACAGCTGCGCAGCCGCACGTACTGTGGTCGGTCTGAGAGGTAGTTGATGGTCCATGCAGTGAGGTAGTTGATGGTCCATGCAGTGAGGTAGTTGATGGTCCATGCAGTGAGGCTACTGTCCACTCCCGCGTCCTCCATCTTCCCCCGCAGCAGTGAGGTCTGATGGTGTTGAAAGCACTGGAGAAGTCGAAGAACATGACCCTCACAGCGCTCCCGGCGGGCTCCAGGTGGGAGAGCGTCCCCTGCAGGAAGTAGATGACGGCGTCCTCTACTCCGATGTTGGGCCTGTAGGCGAACTGCTATGTGTTTGAAGTCATACTTTGTGAGCTCATAAAGTTTGTGTAACTTTCTCCTGTTTTTTTGGCCCTGAGTGTGTTTGTGTTCCGCCCTGATCCCTGTAGACTAATTTGGTCTGATCTAAAATGCACCGGCTTCATCAAATATTCAATCATCTCTCTGTGGCCCTCTATCTGTTCCTCCGGTCCTGTGTGGCCCTCACTCCTCCAGTCCTCTGTGGCCCAGGCTCAGGTCCTCCAGGTGTGGGTTCTCCCAGTGGCACACCAAAACAACTCCAAACTATCAAGAACTTACCACAGATTACATCAGAGATTCAAATCATTTCTCACATTTTATCCAGAGAAACTTGTCTAAAGGAAACATTTTAAATATACTGGGTGTAGGAGGTATTCTAACCCACAATGAGGTAAATCTTTGAAGTAGCAGCTCTATGTTTGAAGGCGATAAAACCCCTCACCCACACTTTATATACACATTTCTAACCACCTCAACTCTCAAGGTCTGAGTGAAGCTGCAGCTGTCAAAAGTCATGCGTACACTGTAAAATACAGATGCAGAGGACACTCAAGGTCGGCAGCAGGACTTAGGGAAGACCAAAGAGAGATCTTAGTTAAAGTAGTACTAGAATTTAATATGCTGCTATCCAGAATATATAACTACAATATGTGTTTATAATATTTTGGGTGTTCATTTTGATATGTTCAGATGAATTATGTTTAAAAAACAGCTTTGAAGTGGCACCTTTTAACAAACACTAGGGGGAGCCAAAATGGCGGCGATGACGTAGCAGAATGACCTCTCACAGCAGCAGCAGCAGTCTGGGCTGAATCTGTAGGAGGTTTCACTGTCATCTGAACAAGGTATAAACATATTTTCATCAGTTTTGTACATAATAGTGTGCAACTCTTTTAACCTTTTAGCCTTATTTGTGAGATTCAAGCTAATTAGTGTTGGGCAAGTTAGCTAACTCTACTTGATATCATAAAACATGCTAACAAGGCTAATATTCGTGTTTACATTATGCCAGTCTCTCTTTGGTTGCCTTAGATTTATTTACCACAATGTACATTGTAATATTCAAAAATGCTAATCAAAATAACTCGAATTAAATAAATATTTTGCTTTTATGAACAAAAAGCTGCAGAAGTTGAAAACATAGACTACATGTGATGCAATCACTGATAAAAATGCTAATTAAACCTAATTATCATAGGTGATCATAGGTGTTAGCATTTATGGATATTACACTGTACATTGTGGTAAATAAATCTAAGGCAAAGTGAGACTGGCATAATGTAAAAACTAATATTAGCCTTGTTAGCAAAACGGATGAAAATATGTTTATACCTTGTTCAGATGACAGTGAAACCTCCTACAGATTCAGCCCAGACTGCTGCTGCTGCTGTGAGAGGTCATTCTCCTACGTCATCGCCGCCATTTTGGCGCCCCCTAGCGTTTCTATGCGGAAGTGAAAAGAAAAAGTGCTACTTCAAAGCAGTTTTTAAAACATAATTCATCTGAACATGTCAAAATGAACACCCAAAATATTATAAACACATATTGTAGTTATATATTCTGGATAGCAGCATATTAAATTCTAGTACTACTTTAAACCAGAGAGAAAAAAACAGATAGAGACCAGAGAGAAAGATGCCCAGAGAGAGACCAGAGACTAAGTAGAAGAACCAGAGAGAGACTGGTGAGAGAAACCCAGAATGAAACAGAGCAGTTCATGACATGGCCACACGGGGGCAGCAGCAGCAGTCACACCGTCTCCCTCCGCAGTCATGAGCGGCCGGAGCTAACGCACTAACATCACGACGCTTATCCTCTTCCGTGTTTTCTATCCGGAATACAACCTCTCCAGCACGGACCGAGGATCTCCCACACGGACAGAGCCTCTCCAGGCAGTGTGACACCAGGTAACCGCCTTTAGGAGAGAGGAAGACCGGGGAAAAGCCCCAGATTTGAACCGGTTCCAGAGTCGTGCGGAGCGGTTAGCTGCGATGCTAGCTCAAAGTTAGCCTCTTTAAAACGTCACAAATTCGTGTTATTTTTCGGTGTAATGATGCAGCAACACAAACAACGTGTATAAGTATGGTCTAAGCAGAGCAGTCATGTAACAGTTGTCAAGTTTGTTGAGTTTAAATGTGATTAAAGTGGTTTGACTGTTGGTTGTAGCATTAGCCTCGTGATGCTAACCGCCTGTAGTGTTGTGACTTTAGAAACGGTCTGTGGCGTGTGCTCAGGCCGATCAGGAGATTATGGTCACGTGATCAGAACCAGCATTGTGTTTTAGTGTGAAAACGTGCTTTTAGTGGAATCCACGTGGAACAGCGTCACACGTTTGAAGCAGTTCAACAACAATAGTTTGATTTCTTCAGAGAGTGTGTGTGTGTGTGTGTGTGTGTGTGTGTGTGTGTGTGTGTGTGTGTGTGTGTGTGTGTGTGTGTGTGTGTGTGTGTAATATATCGTAGACAATAATCGTGAAAGTCAATTTGAAGATATGCTTTTTCTTTTTACATACATATTATAATTAGAGAAGGACAGATGCCCATTTGGTCTAATGTGTGCCTAAAAAGCCAATCACTGCTTTATTTGTACATTTCAGTAAATATTGAGCCTTTTTGGATGTGTTCTTTCTGTGTTACTTGAATTTGATTTTTAATGTTGATATGTTTGCGCATGTTTTGCAAAGATGTGTGAAGTACTTTACAAATAAAAAGCTTCTATTTAGATCTACACTGTCTCTATCTATACATGCCCTGGCAGCCAAACATTACAGATCATTTTGTGTAAAAATGATTGATTTTAAAGATATCGTGACAATATCGTTATCGAGATATTTATTTTTGTCCATAGCGCCCACCCCCCTATGTGTGTGTCAGTCACATACAGTGGAATAAACTTTCAGCATTGATGGTCAGAGGAACCATGGCCTGTTGTGTCTCATTTTAAAGCTAGTTCACTCTGGAAAACAACCTTGTCATTGAATCGGATTTAACTTGAATGCAAATTGTAATTATAAATAAACAAATGTACAACTTGTCCTATTTTGTGATTGATCCAAACGGTCATGGACAGATTTTGTTACGTCAATGTCAACATACCTTCATAATGGTTAATGTATTGCTACTTTCTAAAGATGAAATAAAATACTTCCCCCTGACCAGCCATTAGTTATAGAAATTGCCTAACGCCGCCCCCGGCTGTGGTGTGACCTTTGACCTGTAGTTGTGGTGTGACCTGTCTCCTCTTCTGTGCAGGAGTCTGAGCCGGAGTCAGGATGTTCAACAAGTCTTTTGGGACTCCGTTTGGAGGAGGGACGACCGGAGGGTTTGGTACTGCCTCCACCTTCGGCCAGCAGAGTGAGTGACCGCAGCAGGGAAACACTAGGCACTAGTACAGAGAAGCAGCAGGTACTAGAATAAAGAACATAGTAGCAGTAGAACAGCAGGGACTAGAGTAAGTAATCTTTATCTATGTAGCGTCTTTCACAATCCAGAGTCAGAGAAGCGCTTTACAATAATTGTGGGCATATGTCTCTCACTCCACACAGAGATGGGAGCGGGGGTGCCACACAGGAAGAACATGCCAGACCTAGTGGTAGGGAAACCGGAGCACCCAGAGGAATCCTACAGACACGGGGAGAATATGCAAACTCCACTCAGAAAGGCCTGGAGGTTAAACTGAACCCAGGACCTTCTTGCTGTGAAGTACAAGAATTAACCACTGCACCACCGTGTCACCCAGAGTCGAGAACAAAGTAGCATGCGGGAGTAGAACCTAGAATAGTGGTTAGAGAGCTCTCGTCTCTCCTGAAGAAGGTCTTGGGTTCGACTCAAGTGACACAGGCCTTTCTGAGTAAATGTTACAGGGTTGTCAGCTTAAAACAGTTTAGCACGGACTGAAAATGAACTCATGCAAGTGCACACACGGACATCAGAGAGCAGAGCGTCTCCCTGCTGTCAGCAGCAGTTAAAATGGTCGATTCCCCACTTTTGTTCCAGATGCCGGTTTTGGAGCGACAGGAGGATTTGGAACGTCTGCGTTTGGGGCAACCACAAACACCGGAGGACTGTTCGGAGCCGCACAGACCAAACCAGGTCTGAGTCAGTCTCTGTGTGGATTAAGTCTCCTGTAGTATCTTACTTCCTCATGAAATCATTTTGTTTATGTATCGCCCTAAATCACCACAGCTGCTGGATATATTGTCCTCGCAACAATGATGTATTTATTTGATATGGACATGTTACATTGGACAGACCAGATTCACTGCCTTTTGTGATATAGCAAGACCATGCTAATTTTCAACAAGTTTAAAATGTACAAATATACAATAATCCTGTGTTTTATTTCTTAAACTATTGAACAACTTTTCTACAAATGCAGCCACAGTTTCAGGTGTCTGGTGAAGATGTTTAAGTTTATTTGTAGTTTTAGATCAGTGGGAGGAGGACTGTCTGAACATAGGAACCACTCTGGTGTTAGGGCCGCGAACCTTGACTTCTGACAGATCAGGGAACAACTGTGGCACATGATCAGTTGTAAAGTGTGTGTGTGTGTTTTCAGGAGGATTGTTTGGCGCCTCCACCTTCAGCCAGCCCGCCGCCTCCTCCACCACCACAGGCTTTGGGTTCGGGGCCAACACTGGAGCGACCACCGGTCTCTTCGGCAGCACCAACACGGGCACCACAGGGCTCTTCTCTCAGCCCAACAATGCATTTGGAGCAAGTAAACCCACGTCCTTCAGCAGTGAGTGATCAGTGCTAACTACTGTCTAGGGTTAAGGCTTCTATTCTAACCTCCCAGCTAGGGATGTAAAAAACCATGATTTTTCATGACCGACCACCAAGCCTCATTAACCGGTTGAAACCGGTTAACCGCATTGTTCAAAATAGTCCACGTTCTTTGAAATAACGACCATTTTGACGACCCTCCCCTTTTTCTTTTTTTAACCCACAGCTTTGACCAGTTAACGCTGTGACGGTCAACCACCGGTTACACGGTTACCGATTTACTTCCCTACTCATAGCTTTATATCCCCACAAGGGGCGGGGTTATGGGCCACTCTTGGTTTAAACCAAGCCCTGGTGATCCAAGATGGCGCCCTATTCAAATGAATGGCTTGTGCTCAGTGGTTCATGGGACTTCACGGAGACCGGGAGATTAACAGAACTCGCCTATATTTGGGCATCGTCTGGTCCTCCCGGTTCTGCACAGTGGACGAGCTCCCATAATGCGTTGCGCCAAACGTGCGTGTGTGGCACTCATGCACGCGCACAGAGGGGCTCGGCCGCGCTCCGACCAATCAGAGCAGAGCGGAGTCAGAGCGGGAAGGAAACGAGCAGAATTTGTGGCAGTAAAGTGTGGATTTAAAGAAAACCGAAGGATTTAAGAAGAAAAAATGTTCAGGATGACAAGGGACACTAAAATCCCCACAAAATCCGATCTTTATTTAAGCTGTAGGTTCTCTGTCAGGTTCTCTGTCAGGTTCTCTGTCAGCTGAGGTCAAGCTGTTTTAATTTACATTGAGTTCTATGGGACTTTTTTCTGGGTGGCCCGTGTTAATTCAGTCTGCAGTACCACAGCGCCCCCTGTGGCCATGGGTGGGACAGCTGTAAGCTAATAATACCCTATCCAGTTATTATTATAGACCCATGGTTTAAACACGTATCAGACTTGACTGAACCTTCTCTCTCTGATCTCAGACTTCGGCACCAGCACGACGGGCGGCAGTATCTTCGGTGCCACTAGCACCACATCCAACCCGTTTGGAACCACCACGTCTCTGTTTGGAGGAGCCGGCTTCAATGCAGCGGCTCAACAGCCCGGTACCACGGTCAAGTTCAACGTAAGTTTTACTCAAGCCCCAGCAATCAAAGATGGCGGCGTATTCAAATCAGTGGCTTGTGCTCAGTGGCGCAATAAAAAGTTGCCTTTTTTGTACATAATATATCCTGCATTTAACATGTTTGCACATTTCTTTCTTTGCACAATCTTGAGAGATTCTATCCATGCCAGATGTGACATGTACATTTCTCCTGTGTGAGATCAATAAAGTCTATCTTATCTATTCTTATGTAGCGACCATTGGCACCAAAAGATGAGCAGAACTAACCATATTTCAGCATGCATCTGGTCCTCCCGGTCCTGTGCAGTGGACAAGCTCCCATGATGCTTTGCCAAATACTAACAAGCCAAGCACACGTGTGGCTTGTTAGTATGCCACACATGCTCGTGCACAGAGGAGCACAGCAGCGTTCTGACCAATCAGGTGTTGCTGATCAGAGCGGGAGGAAAACGAGCAGTTTGTTGCACTTAAGTGTGGATTTAAAGAAAACCAAAGGATTTAACAAGAAAAAAGTTCAGGACGTCAAGGAACACTTAAATTCCCACAAAATCTGACTTTTATGAAAGCTGTAGGTTCTCTGTCAGCTGAGGTCGAGCTGTTTTAATTTACATTGAGTTCTATGGGAAAATGTCTTGTCTAGACCACGTCAATTTAGTCTAAGGCTATATCCACACGAAGACAAAACGCTTATAATTTCAGAAACTTTTTCTGTAAACACGGAGTTAGCTCAGTAAATGTGTGCGTCCATATGAATGTAGTCAATACGCCTGAAAACGCTGTGAAACTATGCCAGACCTGTTGGTGGCGCTGTGACGCAATGACGGGATCAAGCCCAAACTTCCGTGACGGGAACTGGGCATGCGCAGAATTTTGTAAACAGACAACATGGCGAGTGGGCGAGCTGGTACTACATTAGTATGGACGGACGATGAGGTTGAACTGTTGCTTCGGGTCGCACTGGATTACAAAACCAACAAGCTATATTGTTGTTGTCATTATTTTCTGAGTGCGGCGCATGCGTGCTTTAACAAGAGGCGGGGCGATGACGCAAGCGTCTCAGATACATTGCGGAGAGGCAGTAACCACGGAGCGGCATATACGGAGTTTTCAAATCTTTCCACTCTGGGACCTACTTTCAAAAATGTTCGTTTACACCCCCCCAAAACGCCGGCCTCGTATGGACAATACACTGGATTGATAAAGTATTTTTGCGTTTAGGCCGTGTCAGCTATAAGCTTGTAATACCCTATCCAGTTATTATTATAGATCCTTGATTTAACTCCTGAGAGTTTAAGATTCAGGCACTTAAGTCAAATTTAATTGAGGCCCCGTTGTTTCGCTGAGACGCAGTGTTTCAGAATGATAATATCCCACTCTGTGTTCTGCGACAGGCTCCCACTGGCAGTGACACCATGGTGAAGGCCGGAGTGACCACGAGCATCAACACCAAACACCAATGCATCACAGCCATGAAGGAGTACGAGAACAAGTCCCTGGAGGTGAGCTAGCCACATTAGCTCTGTTAGCTCTATTAGCACATCTGAACAAAGAGTCAAATACACAATTACTGCCCAAACTACAACTATTTAAAAAAAATTGAATTTAGTCTGCAGCACCACAGCGCCCCCTGTGTCCATGGGTGGGACAGCTATAAGCTAGTTATACCCTATCCAGTTACTATTATTGATCCATGCAACCTGCCCACAACAAACCGAAGTCCAGGGAACTGTTGTTACTGGTAACTGTGGTAACTACGGCCTCCAACTGCACTCAGACCAGCAACTGACCAGAACCTTGGTCATTTCCGCAGTGAAGAGGGCCCCAAAAAGGACCTGGTACCAGTGAAACAAGGCCCGCGTACAGTAGATGTGGCGAGTCTGGGTAAAGTAGAGCAAAGTTGACTCAGCGGATACAAGGCTTTAGTTGGCATCATAGCATCGTTGTTAGCACTATTAGCACAGTTAGCACTTTCGGCCGTAGGGGACAACAAATTGGATTCTTTTGGAGCCATTTTATTTTATTTTTTTAAAAAACAGCCATCAGCCTAGGTCCCTCATAAATTATTATCCAAGTCATATATTATTTAAGAAAAATAATTCATTATCTATAGATGCTAGTAGCTGTTTTTGTGCTGCACATGAAAAATAATTTCAATATTGACTGACATTTGGTGGAGCTGAAGTTGCCTGGACCCTAATCTGCTGCTGCGTCCACAGGAGCTGAGGCTGGAGGACTACCAGGCCGGGAGGAAGGGCCCCACTAACCCCATGGCCCCTGCCACAGGCTCCATGTTCGGGGCAAACCCAGCCACCTCCAGCGCCACCACCGGGCTGTTCGGAGCAGCTGCACCCAACTCCAGCTTCTGCTTCGGGCAGAATAAGACCACCTTCGGCACCAGTACGTCCACACAACATCACACTATGAGCCGTGGTCTGAGATGAGAGGAAGCTGTTGATGCTACTGATATGTGAGGGCATTAGTGGCCGGATCGGTTTTACAGGAGGAACTGCAGCCCACGAATACCACTCTTTCATGTTCTCCTTAATCTGGGGGCCGTGTTCTCTTGCAGTCAGGGAAACATACAAATTAGGACTGGGCGATATAAACGGTATAAGCGGTATGCGATGAAAATTTGGCCAACGATAGATTTTTGTTATACCGGCATAATGTCATCAATTTGCACGGGGCCCAACAGAGGGGCCCTCCTCCATGCTAGGTACTCTGTTGGGCCCTGGTGGGACTTCAGGTTAACCCGGCGCAAATTGGCTAAAGCTAGCGCAGGCTCTGACGGCAGGAGAAGGCACCAAAACAACTGGCATTAGCCCAGCAGCATTAGCCCAGCAGCATTAGCCCAGCAGCATTAGCCCAGCAGCATTAGCCCAGCAGCATTAGCCCAGCAGCATTAGCCCAGCAGCATTAGCCCAGCAGCATTAGCCCAGCAGCATTAGCCCAGCAGCATTAGCCCAGCAGCATTAGCCCAGCAGCATTAGCCCAGCAGCATTAGCCCAGCAGCATTAGCCCAGCAGCATTAGCCCAGCAGCATTAGCCCAGCAGCATTAGCCCAGCAGCATTAGCCCAGCAGCATTAGCCCAGCAGCATTAGCCCAGCAGCATTAGCCCAGCAGCATTGGCCCAGCAGCATTAGCCCAGCAGTATTAGCCCAGCAGCATTAGCCCAGCAGCATTAGCCCAGATCACATCCATGGGCTTAATGTTGACAAGCTCCAGCGTGGCCCGCAGCATCATCACAGCAGAAGTTTGGTAAAGTTAGCGTCAGATTGGGACTTCCGCGGTCAATAGCTCATGAAAGCTACTTAGTTAAACAATTGTGTCAAAATTATCACATTTACATCCATTGTTCAAATCCAATGCACTGTTTTAATGCAGAGAAATCCATTGCTGCAAGCGCCGGGAAAAGCGCTTAGGGAGCGTCAACAAATGTCAAAACCAACTTTGTAAATGAACAATAGCTTTTAGTAGTAGTAAGTAGTAAGTAAGTAATCTTTATTTATATACCGCCTTTTCACTGCACATCAGAGTCTCAAGAGAGTCTCATCAGAGTTTGTTATTTTATTTCGTGTAGTCAATACATTGAATTCTTAAAACTGATTATGAAATTCCATGATTCTTGTGTAGATTGAAATTAGGACCACAAGTGCTTAACCCGATCCACCCAAATGATATATTTTTCTGTTCTCAAGTTGGCCCTACCCAATAACCACAGGGTCCTCAGTTCAATCTGCATTTCAACAGCATGGTGTCTCTTTAATATGGAATAATATTATATGCGATAAAATGTATTAAATACTGGATGAAATATTGGTGATTTTGTTTGGAGATTGGACACACCTGATTTTCAAACTAAAAATTTAAAGTAACAATCTTGACTATTTTATGCAAGAACCTGCAAGTTAAAACAAATTATACTGCAATATGAATTTTAGGCCATATCGCCCACCTCTAGTGCAAATGAAACTCATGATAAAGTCAATTTTTGAAGTTTGTTACATATTTTCAGATCCACGTTCAATTCATATTAATGTTTTTACACAGAGTGGAAACAATGTGATTACTTTTATATCGTAAACCAATTAAATGTGATACCAGACAATCTTTGTAGTTTAATTTTTAGGATAAAAATTACGGAGACCATCATTTTTCAAAAATAATTCCTTTTTAGATCAATTGATTTACTTCTGTTGTGTTAACCATGTTTATCTGTGAGAGTTCTTCTGCCGCTTTGTCACGGATGACCTTTTTTTTTTTGGGGGGGGGGGAAATTTTTTTCATGTAATTTGAATAATCAAATCAGAGGCTGATCTGGTCGTCTAAAATTTTGCCAAAAATGTTTCAATCTTTTTTTTTTATCCACACTCTTTGATATGTCTGTTAGAAATATTTTTTGTCATATCTATGATAGTATTTTTTGTTTGAGTTATAACCTTTTAAAGTCCAGATGCTATAATTGACACTTTGATGTGGCAGACTCCTCACACACAAAGTGAGTCTTTATCTCTTATAATGTTGTCGTCTCGCAGTAACACCAGAATTAAGAAAATGGACTGTTGCCACAATCAGCATTATACCAAAGGCGTATGTTGCTATGAGTCCGGTTCATACAATGGTTTCATTTTAAGTTGAATATATTAACTTATGAAGGATGTTCTAATTTTCTGGGTTTCACCTGAACATCTGCGTGTCGTCTACGTAGGTGTGATCGAACACGTTTTAATAAGTAAGTCCTAGGATTGACCCCTGTGGAGATCCTCAAACGGTATCAAACGGTCATAACACCCTGATATTGGCGTGGGTGGAGCTAGAAACGACTTCAGGTCGGCGTTTGATGAGAGAGCACTGTTGTAGTGTGTTATTTTTGGAAGAGGTTTCAGTCGACCTCTGGGCAGGAACTACACTCGCCCCAACTTAGATCCTGTTCAGACCATCTCCTCAAATTGAGAATGACTTTTGATATTGAAAATGTCTCGTTGCCCAAAACTTGGTCCAGGTGGAACTGTCACCTTTTGTTCTGTCTGGACAAACCTGTGTGTGTGTGTGTGGTCTCAGGCACGGGGGGATTTGGAGCCGCCACGGGCAGCATGTTCGGTCAGCCTCAGCAGCCGCAGCAGCCAGGGCAGCCTCAGCAAACTGCCAGCCTCTTCAAACCCTTTGGACAAACCACCACGGCCCAGAGCACCGGCTTCACCTTTGGGAACACCGCCACCATGGGCCAAGCCAACACCGCTAGCATGGTAAGACTCACACACAGAAACAAAGCATCAGTCTCTCACCTTACCTTCTTTCTTCACTCTCTCCTCCTCTATTTGATCCAAGGTCTGTTATAGTTACACTGGTCCCCACGTCCTCTCTTCTCTCTCTTCTGTCTCCCGTCCCCTCTCTCCTCCTCTCTGATCCAGGGTCAGTTATAATAGTTACTTATGTCTGTCTACTCTCTGATCCAGGGTCTGTTTGGTAGCACCGCTCCAGCTCAGACCAACAGTTTGTTTGGTGCAGCTCAGACCAGCACCACCTCGGGCTTTGGGGCTAGCACTGGGCTTTTCGGACTATCCAACACGGGCTTTGGAGCCGTGGGTACTCAAGTAAGTACGGCTTTCACCGCAGAGGGGGGGGAGATTTTCCCGTCCACAAAATCTGCAGCTCTGTTGTCATTCAGAAGGAGCTGATCTGGGACTTGATTGGTCCTTTAAGAATCATAAACGCTTCTAGGCGGTGTCCTTCAAGGTTTAATTCTTGTCACAATTTTATTTCCGAAATGGATGCCATACCTCGGCCAAAAACGCACAATATCAGTTATGACCAGTACACAGTTGACCACGGCCAGCCCTTACAGAGCAGCTGATGGCACAGATGGGCAGCCCTTTCATCAGGCTGTCCCAGGGCAGCTGTGATTGTGGCGTGATGAGAGACTGTTCTTATTTGTTTGTCGCAGCCCAGTATGTTTGGAAATAAGACTGCAGGGTTTGGGACCACCACAACCAGCGCGCCCTCCTTTGGCACAGGCCCCAGTCTGTTTGGGAGCAAACCTGCGCTGACCCTGGGGACCGCCAACACATCTCTGTTCACTTCAGGGTTTGGCACTAACCCGGCCGCAGGAGGGTTGTTCGGAAGCAAACCTGCAACCGGAGGGCTGGGCACCGGGCTGGGGACGGGCTTTGGAGCAGGTACCTCACTCGCACACACTCACTCTCACTGTGGTCCGTACGAGACCTCCTTTCACCTGGTTTCTCTCTCAGCAGCTGGAACAGGACAGACCTCTCTGTTTGGAAACACCCAGAACAAACTGGGCACCACCCTTGGCACCATGGGCACTTTTGGGGCCACAGGGTTCAACACTGGAGCAGGAGGTCTGGGCTTCGGGGCTCCGCAGCAGCCTGTGGGTAAGTGCCCGTCCTCTGCATTCAACTTTACTTAAAATTACATTAATGCTGTCTCTTATCTACTCAGACATGGCTTTGGCCTGGTTTAGCCTTCTCTAACCCCTGGTCTCTCTCAGCTCTCACAGATCCCAGCGCAGTGGCTGCTCAGCAGGCTCTCCTGCAGCAGCAGCTCAATGTCCTGGCCTATTCTCCGTATGAAGACTCTCCTCTGTTCCGGAACCCTCTGTCTGACCCAAAGAAGAAAGAGGAGGTGAGAACATGGATTATGTCCTCTGCCACATTTTGACATTGGCTTTTTCTGACAGAAAAATGAGAGAGGACAACAATAAATGCTGTGAAAACTAGTGCTAGATGTGGGTTCAGGGTCAAGGACCTTGAAACTGTCCTTGAATGTACAAGATGGAGATGCCTGAGATGAGTGGCATACTTCTTCAGATTTGGTCTTTTCACTCACCCCTTTCTTCCAGCGTCTGAAACCGACCAATCCGGCAGCTCAGAAGGCCCTGACCACGCCCACCCACTACAAGCTGACACCACGGCCGGCCACCAGGGTGCGCCCTAAAGCTCTGTCCTCGTCCGGATCCTCCAAATCTCAGCTGTTTGACGGCTTAGACGACGACGAGCCGGCGCTGTCCAACGGAGCCTTCGTCCCCAGGTGAATATACAAGATCAGAGCCACGTACACACACAGAGGACACACGCATACAAACACACAGAGGAGACACGCACACACACAGAGGACACACACATACAAACACACAGTAAGTAAGTAAAATTTATTTATATAGCGCCTTTCTCAGACCAGGGTCACAAAGCGCTTCACATTAAAAGCAAGATCAATACATACATATAGAGCATACAGAGTAAAAAAAACTATACAGTAAAACAAGTTGTACAAAGTACATAAACATCAAGATCTAAAAGGCCTCTCTAAATAAGTGCGTCTTGAGCTGACTCTTGAAGATATCCACAGACTCCAGAACACGCAGGGACAGGGGCAGCTCATTCCACAGGCGAGGGGCAACGGCCTTGAATGATCTGTCTCCTCTGGTTTTAAAACAGGTGCGGGGGACCATCAGTAGGTTCTGCGTGGAGGACCTCAGGCTCCTGTTAGAGGTATAAGGCTGGATCAGGTCCTTTATATAATCGGGAGCCTGGCCATGAAGAGCCCTGAACGTCAGAACCAGGATTTTAAAATTGACTCTATAAGCGACAGGGAGCCAATGTAGAGCCTTCAAAATGGGGGAAATGTGGGCTCTCCTGTGGGTGCGGGTCAAGAGCCTCGCTGCAGAATTTTGGACTACTTGCAAACGAGCCAAGCCTTTTTTACTGAGGCATGTCAGAAGGCTGTTGCAGTAGTCCAGTTGCGAGGACACAAAAGCATGAATGATCGTCTCAAGCTCATGACTCGAGACAGTGTGTCTGAGCTTGGAGATGTTGCGCAGATGAAAATTAGTTCTTTACCAGCTGATTAATATGTCGCTCTAGGGACATCCCTTCATCAAAAATTACACCAAGGTTTCTCAGGCTTTTCTTCACGGAGCTGCCCAAGCCGCCGAGATGCTGGGTAATAAGTGGGACAATAGTGTCCGGAGCGACAACCAGGGTTTCAGTTTTGCTGGAGTTCAGCTGGAGGCTATTCTCACTGCGCCATAGCTAAGCCATAGCCCCAGATCCAGCCTCTGGGGCTCGGATGACTTAAACGAGCAGTACAGTTGAAGATCATCAGCATACAGATACACAGAGGAGACACACACCCACACAGACGACACACACATACAAACACACAGAGGAGACGCGCACACACACAGAGGACACACACACAAACGTTTTTAAAAATGGCCTGCTCTCACGCTGTGTCATATGTTTGTTTCAGGAAAAGCATAAAGAAACTGGTGTTGAAGAACCTCAACAGTTCTCAGTACAGCAGTCCTCTGTCCAAGAACCCAGACACTGACCTGGCCTCCCCCCCTGAGTACCCCCTGAATGGGAACAGGTGAGACCCAGAGACGCAGCAAGAGTGTTTTGTCAGTTGCTGCTTACATGACTGGCTGACACTGGTCCAACCACCAGGCTGACATTTCTTTCTCTTTGTGTGTGTGTGTGTAGTCCAGGGCAGCAGGAGGAGATGACTCGGGAGGTGGAAGGCTTTACCTCGCGCCTGGACGATGACCCGGAGGTTACTCATTTCTATGTGAACCCTATCGCCAAGCCCATCCCCCAGAGCAGACTCCAGCCAAGTCTGCAAGACACCATCACAGACATGAACCTGCACAAGGCCAGCTTGGAGGTGAGGACCATGTGGAAACAACATGGGGACTGTGTGGAAACAACATGAGGACTCTGGAGCCTGTTGCACTCCTCATGACCACCTGTGTGTGTGTGTGTGTGTGTGTGTGTGTGTGCGCGTTTCAGCTGAGCAGTGATGACGTGTCTGCGTCGCTGTTGGAGGAGTCTCTTCATGAGGATCGAGAGGAGGAGCTGCTGGAGCTTCAGCCTCCACATCCTGCAGGTACAAGACCTCAGACCTGGAGATACTAGACCTCAGACCTGTATCCTGCATGTACCAGACCTCTCAGACCTTGACCAGACCAGTTTAATCTGGTGCAATTATTGAGTGTGTTTCTAAACCGCTAGTGAAACCAGATCCTACGGAGACGGGGCCAGCAGAGGCATTTAAGAGCACATGGAAAAGCAAGGCTGATATTAGAAATCAGTCTTGATTTTTGCCAAGAGTCTTTATCTTGGTCTATAGGAGGATCTTGGAGTGACGTCGTTGTTTATAGTTTTTCCGCGCCGGTCACGTGGCCGTGTGGCACTATAGCTTTGGAAGCTACCTGAATGCTAGAAAGTTAGCTATTTTTAGTCGTTTGTAGAGAGGTTCTACTAAATCAAATGGTCCGTTTCTGTTGTGTGGTCAGTTGTACGGCCCGCTGGGGACAGATTCCGTTTTTTTCCTAATTTTTTCGGAAAAGAACAGCGAAAACCGGCCGCGGTAAAGTGGTTGCCCTTTTATGCTGTTACCTTCGGTAAACGTTGACCGGGAAGCCGGGGGGGGGGATTTTGGTTGCTCATCCCCGCGGCTTCCTGTTCCACCTTTACCGTAAGTAACAGCAAAAAGGGGCCGCCTGCTTTTAATGCGTGGCAAAATCCCAGGCCACTTTACCGCGGTGAAAAACGCGAGAAATGGATTCACACCACGGACCCTTCTAGAGTGAAGGGTCCCGGGTTTTCTATGAAGTAAGAATACATGTCTCCCAGTCCCATCAGAACGGTGCCAAAACAGAGGTGAGTCTGACCAATGTTTTTCTTGTCATCCCAGGTCTCATATGGGCTTTGGATTTGTTCAGTTCCGTCTTATATACTTATTTTTAGCTTGTTTTTATATCTCCTCTGATCTTCTTGCGTTAAAGTGCTTATATACAGTGCTATTCGCCCGCTGAGTCTTTTAAAAGTACTGGTCGTATCCATGCTTAAGTATGTGCCACTCTACCTTCTTGCCACCCGTGCGAAGGACACATGCGCACGCAGGTGTAAACAAAGATCCTCCTATACCCCGGTACTCACCTGGTCCTTGTTCTCACCTGGTCCTTGTCCTGGTCCTCTCCTAACCCTTGTCTCTGGCTGCAGGCCTGGTGCTGAACCGCGTGGGCTACTACACCATCCCGTCGCTGGAGGAACTATCTGAGATTGTGGACTCCAACGGGGACTGCATTGTGGAGAACTTCACCGTGGGCCGCAGAGGTTCAGTATTTTAAATAATGTCTCCCAAGCTACCACCCTGACCCCACGCTGACGTCTGACCTCTGTTCCAGGTTACGGCTCTGTGTTCTTCCCTGGAGAAGTGAACGTGTCTGGACTGAACCTCGACGAAATCATCCACTTCAGAAGAAAAGAGGTCATTGTGTATCCAGACGACAAGAACAAGCCAGAGGAGGGACAAGGACTGAACCGGTGAGTCTAGAACAACCCATAATGAGGACTGAACTGGTAAGATACCCCAGTGTTTGATATGGGGGGAGGGTATTACACAAGCTGATAGATAGATGGAAGAAGTCAAAACCAAGACAAGATTATAAACGGTACAGTTTTCAGGACCTTTGGGAAAGTTCCAGATTGAAGAGACATGTTTACCGTCTGTGTGAGTGAAGGTAACAGACTTTAGAAAACTAGTGGACAGAACATCGGTGCGTGTGAAGGACGACAGACTGGACATCGTTCTAACCTCCATGGTTGTGACTCTCTACTCCCCCTGCAGGCGAGCTGAGGTGACTCTGGACGGCGTTTGGCCTAATGATAAGACGTCGTGCTCCCAGATCCGCAGTCCTGAGCGTCTGAGTGAAATGAACTACGAGGGCCGACTGGAGAAGGCCTCGCGGCGCCAAGGGGCCCGCTTCCTGGAGTACAGGCCCGAGACCGGCTCCTGGGTTTTTGAGGTTCGTCACGCACGTACACACACATACACACACACACCAAACTTTTAAATCCTCTTGTGTTCGGCGGCCCGAACAGCTGGTTGATACAGTGGTAGGAACTCTTGCATCTCAGCAAGTTGGTCCGGAGTTGGAATCCCAGTCGGAACTGGGTCATTCTGAGTGAAGTTTGCATGTTCTCTCCATGTCTGCGTAGGCTACAACGGGGTTCCCCTACCTCTAAAACATTTACAATAGGTAAAATCCTCCAGTGGTCCTGAAGAGCATCAACATCTGGAGCTGGGCCCGTGAGCTGCACCATAGTGACCACTGCCCCTGACAGAGGCCTTTGTGGCTTTAAGGATGGGGCTAAATGCTGAGGACAAAGTTCCCTATGGGAAAAATGAAGTGTACTTCATTTTTATTTAACCCTCTCTCTTCTTCAGGTCTCTCACTTTTCAAAGTACGGACTCCAGGATTCTGATGAAGATGATGACGTTCCACTGAAACTGGATCCAAAGAAAATGAAAACCACAGGGAGCGCTGCTGCAGGCGGACAGCAGCAGAGGGCGCCACTCACACAGGTCTGTCCGTCAGCTGCAGCTCTGAGTAGCTGTACACATGTACCTGTGTGTGTCGAGCTGTACACATGTACCTGTGTGTGTCGAGCCGTACACATGTACCTGTGTGTGTCGAGCCGTACACATGTACCTGTGTGTGTCGAGCCGTACACATGTACCTGTGTGTGTCGAGCCGTACACATGTACCTGTGTGTGTCGAGCCGTACACATGTACCTGTGTGTGTCGAGCCGTACACATGTACCTGTGTGTGTCGAGCCGTACACATGTACCTGTGTGTGTCGAGCTGGTCGCATGTGTACCGGTGTGTGTTTAGTTGTATGCATGTGTACCTGTGTGTGTTTAGTTGTATGCATGTGTACCTGTGTGATGAAGGTAAAACTAAAGATCTAATTTAATGTTAGTATTTTAAAGTTGTGGTTCCTCGTTCCTGGACTAAACAATTTTCTACTTTAGATCAGCTTTTCACCTCCACCCTCACAGCCATTCAGCTCTCAGCCTGAAGAGTCATAGTGACTCACAGGGATTTTTCTTACACAGAAGACTTTCTGAAGATGAAGACATATATATCAAGACATACAACAAGTGTTGTGATATGATTTATTCTCTTTTCAACAAGTGTATTGATAAAAAGAATAATAATACATTTTATTTTTAATGTACCTCAACGTTTAACATGCAAATTCTAAACTACAAAAGCATACAAAAAAATCCACTTTTACTAGGAGATGGCAGCACTGCTCATCCCGATCATCTCTTATTCCACATATTTCCTCATTCTGAAACCGCCTCTTGATTTGTTTGTCTCCTCAGCCTCTGCTCCCCTCCCCCCCTCCCCCCTCTGCTCTGGAGATCGACAGTGACATGGCCGACATCACGCAGCCCCTCTCCTCTGACAGTCTCCACCCACAGGAAACCAGTGGAGACCAATCTGAGCACATCGCCACCTCAGGCTCCGCCCACATCGCCACGTCACTGGGCATCAACCCACACACGCTGCAGGTAAATGTGACATGTGGGCCAGAAGGTTCTAGAACTGCACATCAGGGATAATACTCTGCATAGAGACAGCGTAACGAGCCGTGTTGGAGTGAGTTTAGTAGAGCAGTTTATAATAAAGTGAGTACATTGGTTATTGGTTTGTCGCAGTCACAAAAAACACAAAGTATAGTCTCTCTCTCGTCTCTGTGTGGTCTTCCTCGCTTCTCTCACTCTCTCTTGGTGGTCTGTCTACCCGCTCCTGTGGTAATAAGCCGACACGGTTCAAACGCTGTAACGTGTGTGTGTGTGTGTGTGTGTGTGTGTGTGTGTGTGTGTCTGTGTCTGTGTCTGTGTCTGTGTCTGTGTGTCTGTGTGTCTGTGTGTGTGTAGATCATGAAGGCCTCTCTTTTCGCTGAGGACGAGGTGTGTGACATGTTTGAAGACCACAGACTGAAATTCTCTGAAGTGCCCTCTCCTCGAACTCCAGGACGAACCTCTGGTAAGATCCAACTGAGACAGGGCCAGCAGTCACATATAAGAGCACAGGAAAAAGCCATGGGGATATTAGAAATGTATTAATTTACAGTTAAGTCTTTATTTGAAAGGTACACAGTAACATTAAGCTCAAAGACGGATATGTTCTGCACCAGATTATAGCCTTACAACTAATGTCTGTCTGCAGTCCCTGGTTACATGACGGAAAAAATACAATACAGTACAATAACAAACACCTCACACTTATATCTCAAACAATACATCCCCTCATTCGTTTGAAATCACTAGCCATAAAATACATACATTTAACACTACAGTTTACAGAAACATATTCCCTCACACACATAACACATAAGTTGTTGTAATTTACATACAGTAATTTATAGTGTGAGGTTGACATAGAGCCCACCTCAGTGTTTATAGCATATAGACCATGCCCTCCCACCAGAGAGACAGTAGGAGACAGTAGGAGACGGTAGGAGACAGTAGGAGACGGTAGGAGACGGTAGGAGACAGTAGGAGACAGTAGGAGACAGTAGGAGAGACCTGAGATCTGGAGCCTTGCGTCTTTTCCACAGACACAAGACCCGTGTTTTTAGCTTTCTCATTTCAGTGAGTTGAATGTGTGACTGTAGTTCTGCCTGACTCCAGCAGGTGGTGGTGTTGTTTGTGTGTGTGGAGTATAGCTAAAATTTTCCTCCTCCTCAGTGGGAGGACTCCTGCAGAGCCGCTTCCTGTCCCAGCTCTCGGACTCTCCCCGCTCGCCATCTATGCCCCGCCCCCTCGCCATCCCTCAGCTGTGGACTCCCCCGAAGGCCACACCTCCTCTCCCCTCCCTACCACAACGACCCCAGGACCACACAACAATCAGGACTGTGGCGGCGCGTAGACTGGGAGGACCGGTGCCTCTCAAGGAGTCGGTCACTTATAACAAGGTACCAGCACCTACACCCTGTCTCCTCCTTCTCTTCTCTCCGCTCTAATCTCCTCTCTCCTCTTCTCTCCTGATTCTCAACTCTCCTCTCCCCATGAAGCTCTCTCCTCTCACCTCTCCTCTCCTCTCCTCTCTCCTTATGCTCTCCTCCCCTCTCCTCAGGGCGCTCTCCTGATGGATGCCGGTCTGTTCCGCGGCCGCTCCTTCCGTGTGGGCTGGGGACCCGGTTGGACCCTGGTTCACTCGGGTCAGACCCTGAGCTCTGAGTCCAAAGTCCTGGACCTGGAACCGGACTACAGCTTCCTGCCGCGGCCCTCGCACAAAACGTGAGATTTTTAATCTTGTGTTCCCACGTCTCCGTCCACTTCCATTTTTTTTGCAATTCCCATTTTGTGTTTGTTAATGGAATCTTTACTAAATTATATTAATGTTTTGAGTTAAGATAAGATAGACTTTATGGATCTCACACTGGAGACACATTTGGCACAGATAGACTGTGCAAAAGAAGTGTGCAACATGTTAAAGGTTAAAAATATAGTCTGTGCAGGAGCTATTATGTACGATAAAAAGTGGCAATTAAAGAAAGAGTAGGGTCTGACCTTAAGCCTTGTTTCATGTTACATGCAATCAACGTGGTGCGGATTTTGATAAAAGGTGAAAAACCTGAATACCTCTTGGCTAACTAGCATTAGCTCCCTCTTTATGAGTTGCCTTTAAAACAGAGGTCTGTCTTGATTTGGTCGTAGTTTAAGTGTTTGTGTTGGAACATTGTTTTTCTGAACATTTGTGTCTTCAGTCTGACAGAGTCCCCGTACAAAGTGTCGGTGGAGCGGGTTCTGGGTCTGGACTCTGGTCTGGACTCAGGCCTGGACTCAGGCCTGGACTCGAGCCTGGACCCTGAAGCCCTGCAGCTGCGTGAGGCCATGTTGGAGCGCCCTCTACAGATCTGCCTGAAGCACAGCAGGATCCTGAGCTCCGGCCGCTGTCCCTTTGCTCAGCCACAGAACGGTGTGAGCGCCCTGCACGAGTACGCGGCATGGGCTAAAGACGTGAGCGAGGAGCATGGGTCAAAGCAGCGTAAGTACCAGAGGGGGAGACCACCGACCCACCAGAGGGGGAGACCACCGACCCACCAGAGGGGGAGACCACCGACCCACCAGAGGGAGGGAGACCACCGACCCACCGCAGGGAGGGAGACCACCGACCCACCGCAGGGAGGGAGACCACCGACCCACCGCAGGGAGGGAGACCACCGACCCACCGCAGGGAGGGAGACCACCGACCCACCGCAGGGAGGGAGACCACCGACCCACCGCAGGGAGGGAGACCACCGACCCACCGCAGGGAGGGAGACCACCGACCCACCAGAGGGGGAGACCACCGACCCACCGCAGGGAGGGAGACCGACCGCTCCAGCTAAATTTGTCCTTCTTGTTACTTATCAGAAACAGGTTTAGGTTGTAATAAACCATCAACAACAGATCCTTGTTAACGGTGTGTTGTGTTTGTAGCCGTGCTGAGCTCCTGGAGAGAAGCCTGGACTTTGTGTGAGGCTCTGTGGGGCCGGCTGGGTCTGGACCAGGACCAGGACGAGTCTGAGCCAGCGGGAGAGTACCAGCAGCAGATCCTCCGCAGGCGAGCCTTCTCTGCCTGGCTGTCTGAGGGCGCCCTCTGCAGAGTGGAGAAGGAAGTGTCCATGTCCCAGGGCAGGCACATCGAGGCCATATTCAGCCTCCTGACAGGAAACTGCATCAGCCAAGCCTGCCAGCTCGCCCAGAAACACGGTAGGACCCGCTTGTGCCGAAAATGTTGTCAAACCCTCTTGACCCACAGAGGTCTTCCATCTGTCTGCAGCTGTTTCTCTGTTTACAGTACGTTGTTTTTTAGATGAGAATGTCGATCTCCCTTCTTCCTTCTTCTCTCCTATAAATGGAGACCACAGACTCTCTCTGCTCCTGTCTCATATATGTCTCTCTTCAGGAGACCAGACTCTCCCTGCTCCAGTCTCATATATGTCTCTCTTCAGGAGCCACAGACTCTCTCTGCTCCTGTCTCATATATGTCTCTCTTCAGGAGACCACAGACTCCCTGCTCCTGTCTCATATATGTCTCTCTCTTCAGAAGACCACAGACTCTCCCTGCTCCAGTCTCATATATGTCTCTCTCCCTGCTCCTGTCTCATATATGTCTCTCTCTTCAGAAGACCACAGACTCTCCCTGCTCCAGTCTCATATATGTCTCTCTCCCTGCTCCAGTCTCATATATGTCTCTCTCCCTGCTCCAGTCTCATATATGTCTCTCTCCCTGCTCCAGTCTCATATATGTCTCTCTCTTCAGAAGACCACAGACTCTCCCTGCTCCAGTCTCATATATGTCTCTCTCCCTGCTCCTGTCTCATATGTCTCTCTCTCTTCAGGAGACCACAGACTCTCCCTGCTCCAGTCTCATATATGTCTCTCTCCCTGCTCCTGTCTCCATATATGTCTCTCTCTTCAGGAGACCACAGACTCTCCCTGCTCCAGTCTCATATATGTCTCTCTCCCTGCTCCTGTCTCATATATGTCTCTCTTCAGAAGACCACAGACTCTCCCTGCTCCAGTCTCATATATGTCTCTCTCCCTGCTCCAGTCTCATATATGTCTCTCTCCCTGCTCCAGTCTCATATATGTCTCTCTCCCTGCTCCAGTCTCATATATGTCTCTCTCCCTGCTCCTGTCTCATATATGTCTCTCTCTTCAGAAGACCACAGACTCTCCCTGCTCCAGTCTCATATATGTCTCTCTCCCTGCTCCTGTCTCATATATGTCTCTCTCTTCAGGAGACCACAGACTCTCCCTGCTCCAGTCTCATATATGTCTCTCTCCCTGCTCCTGTCTCATATATGTCTCTCTCTTCAGGAGACCACAGACTCTCCCTGCTCCAGTCTCATATATGTCTCTCTCCCTGCTCCTGTCTCATATATGTCTCTCTCTTCAGAAGACCACAGACTCTCCCTGCTCCAGTCTCATATATGTCTCTCTCCCTGCTCCAGTCTCATATATGTCTCTCTCCCTGCTCCAGTCTCATATATGTCTCTCTCCCTGCTCCTGTCTCATATATGTCTCTCTCTTCAGAAGACCACAGACTCTCCCTGCTCCAGTCTCATATATGTCTCTCTCCCTGCTCCAGTCTCATATATGTCTCTCTCCCTGCTCCAGTCTCATATATGTCTCTCTCCCTGCTCCTGTCTCATATATGTCTCTCTCTTCAGAAGACCACAGACTCTCCCTGCTCCAGTCTCATATATGTCTCTCTCCCTGCTCCAGTCTCATATATGTCTCTCTCCCTGCTCCAGTCTCATATATGTCTCTCTCCCTGCTCCAGTCTCATATATGTCTCTCTCCCTGCTCCAGTCTCATATATGTCTCTCTCCCTGCTCCAGTCTCATATATGTCTCTCTCCCTGCTCCTGTCTCATATATGTCTCTCTCTTCAGGAGACCACAGACTCTCCCTGCTCCAGTCTCATATATGTCTCTCTCCCTGCTCCAGTCTCATATATGTCTCTCTCCCTGCTCCAGTCTCATATATGTCTCTCTCCCTGCTCCTGTCTCATATATGTCTCTCTCTTCAGGAGACCACAGACTCTCCCTGCTCCAGTCTCATATATGTCTCTCTCTTCAGGAGACCACAGACTCTCCCTGCTCCTGTCGCAGGCTGTGGGATCTCACTTCTGCAGAGAGCTGTTGGGGCTGCAGCTCGCTGACTGGAATCGCACACAGACGGACAGTTATCTGACAGAGGAACGTCTACGCATCTACAGCCTGCTCTCTGGGAAGCCTGTAAGTGAGATGTGACCCCCCCTGGTCCCTGATGTGACCTGGGTATTCTAACAGATATTCTTAGTTCAACTTCTACCACGATTATTACTGCTGCAACTTATCTCATTGCCTGTCATTGGAGGATTCAATCGTCAATTGCGTTCTCTCTTTTCATCTCTGTCTGTGTCCCTCTATTATAAATGTCTGGGGGTTGGTAGCTGACAGTGCTTTGTTGAGCCAGCAGGTGGCAGTAGTGCTCTGTTGGTGTTAGGTCAAAGGTTACACAACTTGGTCTGAGTGCTGCAGGAGAGACAGTCAAAGTGAGGGGAAGACTGAGAGGAAAAAGCTTTAGTTGGTGGCGGTTTGAGCAGTAAAGGTGCCATTAGAGCTGACAGAGAGCATCGGAAGATCAGGGCAGCAGAGCAGCGCTGCACCACAAAAAACCACAGAAAAATTGACTATTGTTAATACTAGGGCTGCACGATATTGGAAATTAGAGCGATATTTGTATGAGTGTTTAATATTGCGATAACAATATTATTACAATATTTTTTTCTTTCACCTAAAATTGCATCTGCTTTGAAACACAAGAGACAAATAACAAAAACATTAATGACATTCAAATGCATATATTTATGTACTTTTTGTTTTATTTGTTGAAGGTTGATGTGTCTGTCTGTTTTGTTGTCTTTTTTCATTGCACATATTTTTGATATGGATATTGCACGCACCAATATCGCGATAACGGTACTTTTCGATAAATTGTGCAGTCCTAGTTAATACTATCTTTAATCCTAGCGTACATGGACAGAGTAACTGGAGACAACTAGTTTCAAGGCGGCTTTTGGCGACTGAGAGGAGATGATGGAGATGATCCGTTGCCAAAATCGGTCGATGTGAGCGCTCTTACAACTGGAGATAAACAGTCGATCTCTGGATTCAGTCAGTTGCCCGTGTTCTACTTTTCGGCAACTAGTGTTCCTCAGATCCGGAGATATGACCCAATGTGCTCCAACATGTGACGTATTGCGTGTATTGCGCCCTCTATAGTTTATGTCAGAAAACACACTGTAGTTGAGGCCAGTTGCTGTCGATGAACGCGCTGTTATTCCCCAGACTGACCTGCTACAGGAGTTGCCCGTTTTCACCAGATTGTCGATGTGTGCGGTGCAGCAACTCATAGGCCACGGATATAATCAGTTGCCAGTCCGATGTACGCTAGGCATGAAGTGTGCACGAGGAGCCAGCGGTAATATCCGGTCCTAGTTATCTGCTCTAAGCAAAATTACAGTGTAGATGTAACCACACACACACATTATTCTACTGCACTCACTATATAGGTTTGTGTGTGTCATAAAACATCAAAATCGCCTTCTTGGTTTTGCCTCATTCAAGCATGTAAGATCCTGGACATGTTTGAGGAGATGCTAAAGTTAAACTAGATGGTGTTAAAATCACTTTTCTGCATAGTGTCTGTTTTCACAAACGCCTCATTTTCTGGTGACTTGTGATTTCTGTCAAACTTGCCTCTACTCCACTGGTAACAGGAGTATGAAACAAGCTAGAATCAAACTTTTTGCTGATGAAAGTTGACATTAGTAAATACTTTCAGAAGCTGGTTTCAGATATCAATAGCCATGGTATGCAATAATCTATGGGTCTTGAGAAATCAGCGAAAATCATAAAAAAGGTTATATGACAATGAGTTAAGAGCAGCTCTGGTGGGTTCCCTATGCTCTGGGTTGCTGTGGTAACGGCCTCTCTTCTTCAGGTGTGGCAGTCCTCAGACTCCTCTGTGAACGTTTGCTCGGAGCTCGACTGGAAACGTTCCGTTGCTGTTCATCTGTGGTTCATGCTCCCGCCCACCGCCTCCGTGTCGGACGCTCTGAGGCAATACGAGCACGCGTTCCAGGTCTGTCACTCACTCACAAGCCCCACCTTCCAGGTCTGTGAATCACTCAGAAGCCCTGCCTCCGGTTCTTAAAGCTGCACTAACTGACTTTGGGATTTCGGAGCAGCGGTTTTGCTGGCCTCGCTCCCCGCACCCACGAAGCTATCGCCCCCCACTACCGCACACCCACTGTTGTTTACAGGGCTAGCGTCTCACAATATGGATAGATCATGTATCGTACATTTGAGCGTGGATGGCGTGACCATAGAACGATAGAACCAAGAAGAACTGAGAGGACGGGACTTTCTTTTGGATGGATGTTTCGCTGTGTTAGTTGTAACGAAGACACAAGAAGCTTCAGGTTAGCCTCCGCCACTTGTTGTGTTATCTCAGCTGGGAATTGGGTATATCCCAATGCACTGCATGGACATGGATTGCATTTTCGTAATTAATACAAAAATAAAGTCAGTTAGTGCAGCTTTAAGCTGTGTTTGACTCGTAGAAAGTCTCCGTAGAGTTCTACAGTGTTTCAAACATGGCAACACACTTCCTGAGGGTCGTGATCAGACAGACAACCGCTCACACACACACTACTCTCTCCTCAGGGCCCCCCGTGATCATCTCTGTGTTTTCACTTTGAGTTATAACACTCTCTCGTCTCAGGGCTCAGAAGACTCTGGCAGATACGCTGCTCCTCCTCTTCCTTCGTACCTGGAGTCTGAGAGTTTGGAGCCGGAGGAGGAATCTGACCCACGACCTCTGTATGACCTGTGCTTCCACCTGCTGAAGCTGTACAGCGACAGGTACCTCCCCCTGCTGGCACTGCGTGTGTACTGCACCCACAGCCCCTGTCTTTGTGTGTGGCGTCCCCCCTCCCTTATCTCACCCTCTCCTTACCCTCTCTCCTCAGGCACCACCCCCTCCCGCCTCTCCTCGACCCGCTGGCCGTGTCCCCTCACCGGCTGGACTTCAGACTCAGCTGGCACCTGTGGTCAGTCCTGGAGGCGCTGAACTACTCCCACCTGCCCGAGTCCAGTGTGGGTCAGCTGCATGTGTCCTTCTGCTCCGTGCTGGAGAGTGTAGGACTGTGGCACCTGGGAGTCTTTGTGCTCCTACACATCAGGAGAGACAGGTACTGCTGTATTATGACTGCTACTGATGCTGCTGTTATTACTGCTGTTATATGACTTACTACCACCTCTGCCTGTGGAGAGAGGTACTGATGGGGTATTACTGATGCTTTAATAACTGCTACTGCTATTAGGAGGGACAGGTGCTGCTGAAGATTGTGTTTTGGTTTCTGAATTAACATGTTAACATTAACATGTGTCTCGTCTTTCTCTCTCTGGTCCCTCTCTCTCTCTCCCCCCACTCCCTCAGTGAGAGAGAGCGTGCTGTGCGGCTGATGCTGGAGCTGCATTGCCCCCTGGAGGACACAGAGCAGTCACTGCGCACAGAGCGCTTCCTTACACAGACCCTGCTGATCCCAGAGCAGTGGATTCATCAGGCGAAAGCGCTGAGAGCGCTGAGTCTGAGAGACACAAGCCGACAAGCCCTGCACCTGTACCGAGCGGAGGAGTGGAGTGAGTGCCACCGCACGCTCATCAGGCACTGTGCATCAGGTAATCATTACAGTGCCTTGCAAAAGTATTCGCCCCCTTGAACCTTTCAACACACAGGTGCATTCTATTTATCATCATCAGTCATTTAGGACAACATTGGATCATTCAAAGATCCTCACTGAACTTCTGGAGTGAGTTTTCTGCACTGAAAGTAAAGGGGCCGAATAATATTGCACGCCCCACTTTTCAGTTTTTTATTTGTTAAAAAAGTTTAAATTAGCCAATAAATTGTTCCACTTCACGATTGTGTCCCACTTGTTGTTGATTCATGACAAAAAATAATAATTTTATATCTTTATGTTTGAAGCCTGAAATGTGGCGAAAGGTTCAAGGGGGCCAAATACTTTCGCAAGGCACTGTATCATCATTGTGTGACGCTGGTTTGTGAAGTGCGCTGTATATAGATTTTTTCACTATTAAGTGTTCTCAGACTGCATCATAAACCTGTATTTGTGTGTGTCCACAGACTGTGCAATAAACCGTGTGTGTGTATGTCCCCACACTGTATCAGAAACTTCTTTGTGTGTGTCCCTAGACTGTATCATAAACGAGCGTCTGGACTTCCTGCTGGAGTTCCTGGAGGGTCTGAGTGTTCCGGAGCGCTGTGTCCTGATCCAGGACTGGGACTGTTGTGGGAGAGTGTTCCTGGACTACATCCGAGTCCTGAAGACTCTAGAGCACATCCAGCAGGTGGCACTACTCTCTAAACACGCACACTGCCCCACCTAAACACACACAACACATATGTAACACTTCTTTGAGAGCTTCATAATGCTAACTCTCATGATGCTAACTTCCTCTCCAGTCTGAAGCGGCCGACGGCGGGTTCGAGCTTGAACGTCTTTACACTGAGGTCACATCTCTGTGTGGAAGAATAGAACTGCTGCCCTGTCACTGCGCCAAGGACCGGCTCGCCCAATCAGGTGAGAGATCACTGGCTGGTCCAATCGGGTGAGGGCACTGGTGGAACTTAAGTTATCAAACACCAGAGACCAACCAAAATGTTTTGCTTGAGAAAACCTTTGGGATTTCTGTTGCACTGTTGTGAACTATAGACATTTAAAAATTAGACTAATCTAAAGGGCAAATCTTTAGGTCAAGACATGCGGGTTAATCAGAAACATGTTGGCCTTTAATCTCTCATCAGACATCTCCTTTAATGTCTTCTCAGAGATGGCGAAGCGTGTGGCCAACATCCTGCGTGCTGTGGTGTCTCTGCAGCCAGGGGGCGCTGTGCTGCACTTGGCGCCTCACATCAGCAGACTGCCCATGCCTGAGGACTACAGCCTGGAGGAGCTGAGGGGCCTGACGCAGAGCTACCTCAACCAGCTCGTGCTCAGCCAATAGGAGTGCACGACCTGCCAGAGCTCAGCCAATGGAAGCCCAGGACCAGCCTGAGCTCAGCCTATTGGGGAGTGAATAAACAGTCCTCTGATTGAACTGTGTGTTAAAGCAGGAAACTTCTCTCGGGATGATTCTACCGGAAACTCTCTCTCCGTCACAAACACCTGCTTCTGCTTTCAGATGGCAACGACACGTCCCCCCTCCCCTTCTGTCTCAATGCCCTGTTTGCAAGTTCACTCCTGTCCAACTCTCCCTGTTCTTTTTAACTGCTGACAGCACAAGCTAACAATTTTCATTTGAATATGCTGGAATTTAGCATTAGCATTGGAACGAATAAATGGCATCCTTTGTCCTACAGGGGGCCTAGGAAAAACACGGACAACGTACTACTCAAAATACATCATTCTTCCTCTTTTTATACCTGGAAACCACAAAGAACATGTTCAGGACCAGACCGAAAACTGATTATTCTGTTTGTTTGCCAAGGCTCACGCCATTCTCGTGACACAAGCAGTCACTTTGTCTCTGGGTTTCCCTTATTTTTCCGTCTTGTGGCCGAAGTCTCCGTCTACACTGGAGACGAGCCACTTCACGAGCCTGAGGTATTACCAACCGGTCACGTCCGCGGAGAGGAGACAACCCACTGGAAGAGAATCCAGGTGTTTGACTCTTTAGGGCTTCGAATGATAACGTAAAACACAGCGCGTCCAAGCTAAAGTTGTATGCTAAAGATGTTAGCTTAGCTGCTGTTCACCTAATGTTATCATAACATTAACTTTCTACAACCAGAAGCATTCATGGCAGTTTGATAAGTTTCACACCTTTGTTCAGTACACTGACAAAATGGCCGCCGCAAAATCGCTTGTGTCGTGTGTAACCATGGTGACGACTGGGCTTGTGTTGTGTGTAACTATGGTGACGACTGGGCTTGTGTTGTGTGTAACCATGGTGACGACTGGGCTTGTGTTGTGTGTAACCATGGTGACATTCTGGAATTTTTACCGAATGAAAACTCCAAATTATGTAAATATATCTCAAACTTTTGTCACATTTGTAAAGTTTTATTCAGGAAAATTAAGCAGAGAAATTATTTTGTCAAAAAAAACTATGAGCTGTTTTTTTTTTTTGTATTCATTTATTGACAAAAAATACTGAAATGCTGGAGACAGGCGGCACTTGACTTTTTTTTTTTTTTTTTGGCTGTTTGTTTTTTTTTGGCTGTTTTTTTGTTTATGGAAAATATTTTTGTAAATGACACTTTTGTTGTAACCGAGGGAAACGTCTGAAGAGATGATTTTGATGACGATATTTTTAATAAAGACTTGTTCAAGTAAAAGCTGTGGTTTGTGGTTTTGAACCTGACAATGCAAAACGTAAAAGTAAAAAGCATAGACTGTAAATATTAACAGACGTAGTCACGCCTGTCTCCGCCGTTCAAACTAAGTGCCATCACTTTTGGCGTCTGTGGCAAGCCCCGGCGATCCAAGATGGCGCCCTATTCAAATGAATGGTTGTGCTCAGTGGCGCTTTGTGACGGCATGGGGGCTGAAAGATTAGTGGAAGTCGCCTGAAACTCGCAAAGATCTATGGGAAACTCGCCTGTATTTGGGCATCGTCTGGTCCTCCCGGTTCTGCGCAGTGGATGATCTCCCATAATGCGTTGCGCCAAACACGCGTGTGTGGGTCTCACACCGGGTCTCACGCACGTGCACAGAGGGGCTCGGCCGCGCTCTGACCAATCAGAGCAGTTCATCAGAGCGGGAGTTAGAGCGAGAGCCAGAGGAGCAGAGTTTGTGGCACTAAAGTGTGGATTTTGTTGTCAGAATTCGCTACGCAGCAGCCCAGTGTGAGCCTCCTTTAGCACTGTGCGAGAAAAAGACGAGCAGTCCACACAGATTCATTTCACACAAGCAAGGTGCCATGGTTTATTTAGGGCGGGGTTAAATAAGGTCCGGCCGTGACGTCATCAATCAATAAACAAATAATGCATTCAGAGCATAACAGAAAATACAATACAATTAACACCCCCACTTGCTCTCAAATGTGTTAGCTTCCTTCACAACAGGAAATACGGAAACAAAAATACACACTGTCCACACTTTTAACCAAACAAAATGTTAGAGAACTTAAATAGCTTGTGCTGTGATGCTGGTTTTGTCATCACATCTGCCAACATCTCCTCTGTAGGACAATAGTGTAACGTCACTTTACCTTCATTTACAGTTGATCTTACAAAATGATATTTTATGTCAACGTGTTTGCACCTTTGCCTGCTCACTGGGTTTCTAGCTAAAGCAATAGCTCCTTGATTGTCCTCAAAGATTTTTGGTGGTATATCTATGGACATACCAAAACCTTCCAGTAGGTGAGTCAGGTGCAAACATTCCTGGACAGTTGCTGCTAATGCCATATACTCTGCTTCACAAGTAGATAATGCCACAGTCGGCTGCTTTTTGGATTTCCATGAAATAACAGGCCCCTTTTCTTTAAGACATATACAGTAACCTGTAGTGCTGCGTCTATCAAAGGAATCTGCTGCCCAGTCTGCATCACTGTAGGCACATATACACATATGGTCATTGTCATTATCATTTTTACTGTAACAGAGCTCCTTGTCCATTGTCTCTTTCAAATATCTAAGTACATGTTTAGCGGTCACCCATTGCTCCTCTGTGGGGTTTGTAAAGTATTGAGATAACCTGCTTACAACAAAGCTTAGATCTGGTCTTGTACATGTGGCAAGGTAAATCAGGCTCCCTACTGCCTCTCTGTACTTTTTAACATCACTTAAAACATTAGCATCAACAGAATAGTTGAGTTTCTGTTCACATGGTGTTGTACGAGGTTTACAGTCTTGCATGTTAAACCTGACTAATAACTTTTCCACATATTGTCTTTGAGACATCCTTATGCACTCATTTGATTGTTCAAAATCAATACCCAAGAAATATTTGAGTTTGCCCAAATCTTTCATATTGAACTTGGCTGAAAGCATTTCCTTAACAGTTTTCATTGCCTTTTCATCACTTGTAGCCAAAATTAAGTCATCGACCCAAATTATTATTATGACTTCTTCTTTTACTGTTTTTCTTGTATAAACACAATGATCAGACTCATTTTGGGCAAAGTTATTATCAATCAAATATGAATGCAACATGTGATTCCAATTACGGCCGGATTGTTTCAGTCCGTAAATTGATTTGTCTAATTTGCACACCAACTGTTCATCTGATGTTGATTTGATCTCATATCCCTCTGGCTGCTCAAGATAGAGTTCACAATCTATGGGTGCATGTAGGTAGGCGGTTTTAACGTCCATTTGATGCAAAAGTAAGTTTTCTTGGGCAGCTTTCTGCATTAAAACTCTCACGCTGGTCATATTTGCAGTTGGAGAGAACGTTTCTTCGTAATCCACTCCACGCCTTTGACTATAACCTTTTGCAACATAACGTGCCTTGTACTTGTCCGTACCATCTTCGTTCCTCTTAATGGCGTACACCCACTTTCCCCCCACTGCACACTTGCCTCTGGGTAAGTTGGTCAGGGTGAATGTGTTATTCTCCCTCAATGATAGAATCTCCTCGTCCATGGCTCTGATCCAGCAGTTTGATTCTGGTGAAGTCACCGCTTCCCTGAAAGATTGTGGTACTCCACATGACAGTCTATAACAATAATCAATATTAATTAGCACCTGATCATCACTGTCAAAATCAGAAACATATTCATACAGATAACTCGGCTTCCGTCTGTCTCTGGATGGATATCTCCTACTGCTGGTCTTACTTGGCTCAGTCTCATTCCTTTCAGGGACTAGATCTTCTGGCTCATCCTCCTGGATGTTCTCAGAGGTCCCAATTGGTTTTGATACAGGTCTTGGTTTAGTTCTGGTCGTTTCATCATCGTCGTCAGATGTTAACACTGTTTGGGTTTGCTGCTCCACAGTTTTCTTTAACACAAACTTCAACAATCTGTTCTTTTGGACCTTTTCACTATTAGGATAATAGACCAAGTAAGCTGGGCTATTTTTGTCATATCCAATGAACACTCCTTTTTCACATCTTGTGTCAAGTTTCTTTTTGTCTTGCTTGTAAGCAAAACACACAGAGCCAAATTTTTGCATTTTGGAAACATCTGGTTTGTTCCCCGTCAGCATAAAGTACGGTGTTTGTTTTGTGCGATTATTAAAACACCGGTTTCTGACTACAGCTGCTGTCTGTACAGCATAAGGCCACAATGATTTTGGCAGGTCACTTTCGACGATCATACACCTGGCCATGTCAAATAATGTCCGCCAGTTCCGCTCTGCTGTGCCGTTCTGGTGTGGAGAATACGGCGCAGAGGTCTCATGTCTAATTCTGTTTTGCTTTAATAATGACTGATACTCTTTTGATGTGAACTCAGTCCCATTATCAGATCTGATACATTTAATCTTCCCATAGGGGGCAGTATCAGCTAGAAACTTCTCTGTTGCATTTACTGTATCACTCTTTTGTTTAAGAAAATAAACAAAAACTGCACTGGAAAAATCATCAGTGAATGATAGGGCATATCTGTAGCCCTCTTTGGACATGGGATCTACTGGCCCTGCAAGATCTGTATGTACTAACTGTAACACATCTGTGGCACGTGCATCAGCTTCTCTGCTCCTTGTTTGAACAAACTTTCCCTGGATGCACACTTCACATGGTGGAATAGGCTTCTCCATTTTACCTTTAATAGTCATACCTCTAACCACTTTTGGTAGCTTTTGTACGTCTTCATGATTACAATGTCCAAGTATTTCATGCCATGTCTGTAGATCAAAACACCCATTAAGTGTATCCTTACCTCCTATTGCTGTAGCGAGGTAGTACAGTTTATTTTTCACACTGATTGGAAAAACAGTACCGTCTCTGTGAATGAGGGAGTTCTTCCCCTCCTTGAAGACCATCGTTGCCCCACTAGATGTGGCTGCCTTCACAGAAAAGATGTTCTGTGGGTACGACGGGATGAACAGTGCTCCC